CTAGCAATAAAGTAAGTAGGATGGTTCATGCAGACTGAAAAACGAGATGCGCACATCAGTTCTCGATGCAATTCTTTTACCCCTAATTCAATGCTTAGGATCCAACGAGCAGACCATAACATTTCTGCGAACACAGGCCATTCTATAGCATGTGGTGCGTGCTCGAGCAAGTAGAAGGGTATTTTGAGAAACGTTGTCGGTAAGAACCGTGTAACACAGCACACACACGATCTCATAGAATATTCTCTAAAATAGCGGACGGCAAGGAAAGAGACATCCTCAGAACTTTGACGTACATCAGGACCAGTGAGGGATTTTACGAAATGACTGCAAACTTGCCTTTGTATTGTAGCTTCAAAGGTTTGGAGTATACAAGTAAGGCGCGTCCTCAAAACTTGGAGCTCGAATCCCGGGAAAGCCATGTGATGTAACCCCACGAGTTCTTTCCCCGACATATTGATATCGGTCTCGACGAGGGATATCAGCGCCTTGCGACTTGAGGAAAGTAACTGATCGCAGTCTCCCAATTCTGCTTGATGTAACACAAAACCAACCATCTTGGCTGCATCGAGCTCTAGAAGCATCTTTCGAATATCGTCGTAAACTGCGAGGTCCAGGATTGCTTTGAGTGCGAGCTCTTGGTTCGATGCATATTGACTCCTGTACAAAAACAAAACAAGATTAGCACTTATAAGTTTATGATAAGAAAATCAGATACGAGCACACCTAACATATTTCAAAAGCTTTTTCACATCATTCCGGCTCTTTCTATACTCTACAGTTCCTTGGATAGGTATTCGTTGTGCGCGTGTGGTGTAGTAGCGTTTATAACATAGCATTCTTAAGCGCTTCCTGGCCGCTTCCGGCCCGTACCCATGCTTCTCCATGAACCGGCTCGCTGCTGCCTCCAGGCGTCGCCCGAGAAACATGAAGAGCTTTCCGAGCGTGCGCCCCGCCCCCGGGAGATTGTCAGCAGTCGCGCTAGAGCTGATGGACGACTCGGACAACATGGCTTCCACCTGGTTATGGATCTCATTCAGTTCGTCGTCAAGGGTATTTCGTGCTCGCTGTTGCCAATTGAAGTCTGACATTTTGCGAGATCACACGTGCTGAGCGATAGCCTGGGGAAGAAAGTAAGCGGAGGATCGGGCGAGGGACCAAGAGAAATCATACCGGCCTAAACCTGGGCGACGAGGCTGAGGTGGGGGATCGAGTAGAGAAGGAAAAAAATGAACAAAAGACTTTGATTGAACGGGACCGCATTGCTTTTCTCGTGGGATACGTGTGTTGAATGCACAAGGTGCATTTATAAACTTGGAAATTGCCTTTAAATGGACCTCGGGACAACGTACTTTCGCAAGGGCCAAGCGAGGGAGTTCGAAGTCGAAGTAGATAAATTCTGGTCACCGGTTCGTGTCGACAGCAGATTTTCCACAATTATCCAATATGAATGAGACCGCTTGCAAGTTCTTCATTACTCGAGTGTGTTGCACAAACCTCTGGAAGGTATTATCTATCCAGATTCTGCGAGCATAGTCTTTTCGGTGTTTAACAAGTGACTTTGGAGGTCGATGTTTTCCGGCTTTCATATAACGCCCGACGCTGCTTTTCGATAAAACCATCAACGTGCGACGCATCTTCATGAGCCCAGAAGAACCTAGGATCCAGTGCGAACAGCATTGAACCCCATCGACCATATGGATAAGGAAGGTTTAGGTATGAAATGTGCGTTCGCCAACGCACACTACATCGCTCAAGCGGGTGGACTCTCGTAATAGAGCTTCGGATACACGGGCTGTTTTCGGTCTGATGCTTGCACTGTGGCGGAAAGGCAAACAGCCCTATCGGCCGACAGCGAAAGGCCTGAGGTTCCGTTTCGCCGTTATCATCGTCTGCGTTTTACAGGGTATCCGGAAAAGCTTGTCAGTTTATGATTTCGTTTTCTTTTTTTGTACGGTTTTCCCAAAGAGGAACTCCTTACCCAAAGTAGCAATCCTTACCTAAAGTGGAATTCCTTACTGAATGCGGACACCGCCCTAAACGGGGATGATCAGCGCATGTACGGTCAGCCGTGTCGTGAGGAGGGTGGAATCTGGCTTTATGATAATGGCTATGTCTCTAATGATATCTATACGATTCTTGAGCTAGCAAGTAAAACGACACGACACGACGAGCACGCGCAATGTCGACGACAGGCCGATCATCGCCCGTTTAGGGCGGTGTCCGCATTCAGTAAGGAATTCCATTTTGGGTAAGAATTGCTACTTTGGGTAAAGAGTTCCTCATTGGGAAAACCGTACAAAAAACGAAAACAAAATCACACACTGACAAGCTTTTCCGGATACCCTGTAATAAACAACTGAAGTAGATCAAAATATCGAGAAGATGACCGTCGTCCGCCTGCTTGTCATCAACCCGAACTCGTCGAAGAGTATCACAGACGGGCTGCAGGAGTCTCTCGACCCATGCACCCCTCCCGGCGCACAGCTCGCTTACTTCACTGCGCCTTCGCATGCGCCGGCAGCGATCAGTAATGTTATCACAGCAAACCAGACGGCCACCGCGTGCTATGAGTCGTTAGTAGATACCAAAGCCATCGATGAATATGACGGCTTCCTGGTATCCTGTTGTGAGTGCACACATGTATATTGATGTAATAGTTGCCTGCGCTGACCAGCTGCACAATTACCGCGCTAGTCTCCGATCACCCGCTGGTCCACATGCTGCGGGAGCATCTCGCGTCGATCAAATCGTCTAAGCCCGCTATCGGGATCTTTGAGGCAGGTGTCGTGCACGCCATGCTTGTCGGGCGTCGCTTCGGGGTCGTATCAACTGGGACGGGCATGAAGAACACGCTCATAGCCGGCATGCGTGCATTCATGGGTGCCAACTCCGAGCGCTTCGCGGGAGTCGTCACCAGCGGCCTCGGTGTCGTCGAGCTGCGCGAGGGCGATCGAAGCAGGGTCGAGGCGCTGATGAAGAGCACATCAGCGAAGGCGGCAGGAAATGGCGCAGATGTCCTGATTCTTGGGTGTGCTGGAATGGCGGGAATGGAAGAATTGGTGAAAGAGGGCGTTAGAGAAGCAACTTTGGGAGAAGTGCAGGTTGTTGACGGAGCAAAAGCTGGTGTTGAGATCCTGGCTGGTCTGGCGAGAATTGGACGATCGTGAACATCCAAGGCATCTGTTTTCGCATCCTTGACATTTCGTAAATATGTTGCTACCAAAACGCGAAGTAAGCGACAATTTGAAAAGACCTCTGACGATGCGACTCGAAAGATACATCGCGCGACGCCCACGGGACGGACAACGGGTACAATATACTACATATGGATGTACACCTCCGCTAGTTCTTTAGACACCCGCTTCTTTCTCAATCTCTCTGTGAAATTTTATATGCATGTTCAGCCAAGGCTTTCTACCTCTGTATATATCTCGAAAAGAAAATAATCGTCGATTCTTGAGAGCAGAAAATGTCCCAAAGTTGACATTTCTTTAACATGATGCGATCAAAATCATTGACATTACTGACTGTTCTAAAAATTGCATGGAAATATGCAGCATAGGAAGCACTTCATTTGTCCCTTTGAGTTTAGTTATGAGTGGAGAACACAGAGCAGGGACGCGCGCCGTCAGTGGAATCCACCTGTCTACGCGGTGTGAAATCTAAATACATGTACTATTTTGGCGAAACCGTTTATAGCAATGACAGCCACTGTAGCTTTACCGTCATGGACCGGTCCTTGCACCACCACCACTCCTTGCACCACCCTATTTAATTTGACTCGACAACACTTTCCCCAGCTCAAATTAGTGCACAAAACTCTTCTTCTAGTTCAAATACACTACCAGAAAAAAACTCGGTGTAAAATGGTCTACATTTAATGAAGTTATGGATGAAATGAGCGTGAGAATGTACTAGAACTGAGTGGTTCAAAATGGTTTTGGCCTTATGCACTCATAAAACCCCCATTTATGCTCAAAAAAAATTGTAATTACTATTAATACAATATTATGAGTATTAATGCAAGATTTCAGATAAGATGGATAAGCATACAGTTGTGTAGAAATTCAGGAAAGTTGTATGTGGCGCTTTCTGCAAGTTTGACACATTACACATCTGTCACAGTTTTTATGTCACAGTCTTTCCGTCTCAATTGCTCACTTCTGCCACACAATTCATACAAGTAGAATACACTGTATAACACTCATGATGGTAGTAGATACTAGAATATTTGAAGTCATGCTATGCCAAAAAATTACTAAGATGTTTTCTAAATTATTACATATGAAAAGGTATATAAAAACCTCTAATGGAGCAAGCCTGAAAGGGGGCCCTTGGTGCCTATTCCCAAGCCAAAGCTCCCAAAAGATATTGAGGATGATCTGAAAGCAATTGACATTGAAAGTGTCAGCGGGGATGAGAGCAGCGGCTCAAATGAGTCAAATCCCGAGTGAAGACGAGCGTGGGAAAGGTGTGGTGCAAGGAGTGGTGATGTGCTGTTTCGGAGTCAAACTGTATGCACTTCATAACTCCTTTTTTCCTTGCTCTTTTCACTCGAAAATTTGTGCAGATAGGCCTGAGTACACACGGATGTAGAAAGTCGTGGTGATCGACATGGACATCCAAAAAAGGAAAAATACCCCTAGACCTGTTTTGCCTTACATTTTCTTTGAGGCAGCCCGGAGAAGAATGTATACTGTCAACGGGACACTTTTTTGTGTGAATCAGGTCGAGTTCCAGGCATTGAAGGTAGGATGTGTAGGGTTTCAACGGTTATCCACGGTGATGTGAATCTACTTCCTGATTTGGAAGTAAATGTCGATCACCACGATTTTCTACATCCGTGTGTAGTATAGCTTTATAATGGTATTTTTTGTTTGAAAATTTTTGAAGAAACAGATGTGTAAAAAGTGAAATCAAATGTGCTGGTTCAAGGACCGGTCCATGACGGTACTATGTAACAATGTAATGGATTCAGAACGCAAAAAATCATCTAATGCCCCATGGCTCAGTTGGTTAGAGCGTGTGACTGTTATATTTCCATTTGAGTGGTAGCATAATCACAAGGTCCTGAGTTCAAGCCTCAGTGGGGCAGTAGTTCTTTTAAATACTTCTCCCCTCCTTTTATCATCGAAACATGTCTGTCTCTTTCTTTTGTTCGCGCTAGAAGCCTTATATGTATTTTCTATGTGCACCTTTTATCCAATCTAACATGACAATGTAATGTACAAACGCCTTGCTTCCTTTTCCGGTATACTGTCTTTTAATTGTCTACCAGCCTCGTTTACTCAAACGTCCACCCTTCACGTTGTCATCACTGTTGTCGAATGTAGGTCAGAGGAGGGAAGGAAAGCCTTGTAAACAACTCACATGGTCAAACCAACCATAGCTTCACCCAAATCTTCAGAGACCTGGAGGGAGAATGTGAATCATGAACTTGTTCAACATGGAAGTCGCTTACCTCGGCCAGCAGCTTGGGATTGTTGTAGTGCGTTACCTTGAAGAATGTGTTACCACGAGGAACTGAAAATATCTGCAATCAAGAGGGGAGAAATGACATACTGATTGAACAATAGCGCGAGCGCGCTTCGCAGGATCACCAGACTATTCGAGTTTTAAGGAGAAGCTGAAGTGATTATTACAACAGATGGCTTACGTTGAATATTCCAGAACCAACAAAGACTAACGATGTTACTTGAGCGTCGGGTAAAAGAGGATTGATTGTATCACTCACCTCCATCACATCCAAGCTGCATCATGAGAGCAGCGTCGGCTGCAAGAACAAGAATTCAATGACGTCTCTACATAAAGCGGCACTAGCACATACCTGGCGTCGCGATACCACCAGCGGCAAAGCTGACGACGGGCAGGCGTTTCAGCCGAGCAACTTCTTTAAGGAGGTGGAACGGCGCCGAAAGCTCCTTCGCAAATGCATACAGCTCCTCGTCGTTCATGGCACTTGCCCTTCGTATATCGGCTGAAACAGCCCGCTGGTGCCTAACGGCCTCTACAATATTTCCTGTACCTGCCTCCCCCTTCGTGCGAATGAATGCTGCACCCTCAGAGATGCGCCGCAGAGCCTCGCCGAGGTTTTTGGCCCCGCATACAAAGGGTACCTTGAACGTGTGTTTGTTTATGTGGTGCTGTTCGTCGGCCGGGGTCAGCACTTCCGATTCATCAATGTAGTCCACGCCAACGGCTTGGATAATCTATGGAAACGGTATCAGCTAGAATTGTATACCATTGTATCAGAATGCTTGAGCACAAACCTGTGCCTCGACGAAATGACCTATGCGGACTTTCGCCATTACGGGTATTGTAACAGCGTCAATAATGTCTTTGATCATTTTCGGATCACTCTGCAGATTGTAAGCTAAAAATGCCCAAGGGAGTACACAATCTCAACGCACCATACGGGCAACGCCTCCTTCCTTCCTTATGTCTGCTGGGACTCGCTCCAGGGCCATGACGGCACATGCACCCGCTTCCTCTGCTAAGCGAGCCTTCATACACTTCAACAATCTGTATATAGAAATATGCACACATTCCACATACCTGCTCAACGTTGGTGACATCCATGATGACTCCACCCTTCAAATGACTCGTCAAGTAAATCCACGACAGACATTGCACGAGATGAATTCGTTACCTTCAACATCTGCGCCAGACCAGATTTGACCTATTTTGCGCTAGCATAAGTACCACACGCACAATTTTCAACGAGGCACCTCGCGCTCACCCCAAAGGTGCCCAGGTTGTTTCCTCCGGCGCTAGTTGCCGAGCGAGTAGGTGCATTTGCGTGCGCCACGCCGGTTCCCCCGCCAGTCTGAGAGGCGGGCGTTGAAGCTCCTGAGGGAGCATTTAAGTTACTCATAATAAAGTTGTAGACAGTATAGTGTGAGTGTGAGTCAGAAACGGAAGAAAAGCGGGAGAGGGAGAAAGAGAATTTGCGTGTATGCACACTTCCAGATTCCGTGTTCTACTTACGTGATGTTTATGTCCTTCCACGTGCCCGCGTCCCGCACGCGCCTAATTTTTTGGGATTTGCGTCGTTTGTGCGCCGCCGCCGTGTTCTTCGCCAGCACGCTGCCCGCCGCCGACAATGTTGAGCGCAACGCGGAGGTCTGTGCTATCCAAAAACCTGCGCTACTCTGCCCTCGCGTCGACTTCGAAAAGAGCATACAGCGCGAAGCAGCCCTCTCCTCAACCAGAAGAAAAATCCTCCGGTGCCTCGGAAAAAGCTTACGAATATAAGAAACCGACGCCGCCGCCAGAAACATGGCTAGCTCAGTATCTCAGGCGCTCACCGAGAGCTCTCAATGTCTTTCAGTCGGTTACCGGCGCGCTGGGTATGGGCAATCCCAGGCAGGTCGCTGGGCGAATATCCTTCCACTATTACCAGAACGCTTGTGCGGTCAGAGAAGTCGAGGAGCGAGACTTCTGGCATCAAGGTACGTCTACGAGGGATGTGTGACTATAGAAAACCAGCTTATGAGGGACACAAGAATGCCGCCTTCCGCCGACATTCCAGACGTGGTTCACTGTAACTAATCTCCATGTCTGGCTGCTCACTGTCCGCTTCCGCGCATTACCCTCTCCCTACGGAGAGAACTTTGTTCAGGGTACGCGTTGCTTATATCTTACCGCTATCGCACCGTCTCAAGGAAGTTACTAGGTCTCGTCGACCATTTCTTCCTCGACGTCGAGGACCGCATCCGCCAGGCGCTCTCGCAAAAGGCGCCCGAACGACTCGTCTCGCGGCAAATGAAGATCCTGCGCGAGCAATGGGCGGGACTCAACCTCGCGCTCGACTACGCGCTGGGCCTCTCGTCGCCGTACGCAGCGTCCGTGTCCGCGCTAAAAAGCGGCGACGGCGACGCGGAGATGGCCGCCGCAGTTTGGCGCAACTTCCTCGGCGCGCGCGGCGCGAACGGGATTGACGACCCAGGACCGGGGCGCGTGCGCCACGCGGTGAACATCTCGGGCGAGTATGGGAAGGAGAAGCTCTCGAAGGAGAGGCCGGAGGACAGCCTGCGAAAGCTTGAGGAGACGGACGACGGCTCTGGCGTGTACGATTTCGTCGGCAAGGACGTCCGGCTCTATGTGCGCTATCCAGAGCTGATGTACACGCTCGTAAAGTACATCCGCAAGGAACTTGTACGGCTGGAGAGTATTTCTGATGCTCAGATCATGAAGGGAGAAGGTGTTGGGAAGTTTGGGAAGGTCGCTGACAGCAATGTTTAGTTTCTGTTTTATATTTTATTCTTGCTTTTATATTATAAATCCACAACTCTGTCATCGAAACAAAAATCGACATAATATTGATACCCATGTATGGGGTCAATCTGTTCATATCCTTTGGACGTCTAGACGTAATGTACACAAAATTTTCATAGCAAATGTGAGTGTGTTCAAAGCAATCAATGACGAGAGAAGAAAATGGAGAGAAGAAACGTTCATTGGGGAATGGATGATAAGCAAACAAATAGTATTTAAAAGGAAAAAAAGGAGCACACACAGGTAAAGCAAGAACAGAAAAAAAAAAAAAAAAAAACCAACAAATTCACGGTTTCCAGGTAGGCTTTCCCTTCGCCTTCAGCGACCCCACACTGCCCATTCTCCGCAACTCCGCAACACGCGGCGGGACCGCCCGTATGTCTCCCTTGTCTTTTTGCTCGAACTCCTTCACGAGGTCTCTGACGCTCGACGTGCTGGAGCGCCGCGAGGCGGTCTTCTCCACCGGTTTCGGAGGCGGCGTAGGGACGTGCTGCAGCTCGATGAGCCGTTGCGGTTTGGTCTTGCGCGGGATCTTGGTCGGCGGAGGCAGGGGCGCGGGCTGCAGTTCGACCTGTTCTTTGGGATGCGGGATCTTGGGCGGTGGCTGCTTAGCGGGCGTTTCTACAGGCGCGCGGAGTTTGTTCAGGACGTCCGGAGGAGGGACCGGCAGACCAGGGACCAACGGGCCCAACCGTTTCTCCTCCTTCTTGAACATACCCGGCTTCAGCCATGACCCGATGAATTTCATCGACCGTTTCACGGCCGACATTGAACGCTCGCGCGTTTCCCGTTCCCGCATGCGCGCGGTGTTCGGAGTCAACATAGTTTCGATCTCAAAAGCGACGGATTCGTCATCGCTATCGTCGTCTTGCTGTTCTCGGGTCGGCGTCTCGAAACCAAAAAGCCCAAGAGCTGTCTTAGCCTCAGGCGTTCCAGGTGCAGACGAAGTCACTTCTTCCCGCAGACGCGAATGCCTTGCAGGCATGGTCGACGGGGCATGAGGGACCTTGAAGAACGGTTCTGAAGAGGGAGGAGGCAGAGACGGCATTTTGCTCAACGAATCAGTCGTATCGAAGAGCCGAATACGCTCGTTAGCCATAGGCGTGAAGTCGGGGACGATCATGCTCGACGTAGGGCTCAAAGTCGAGAAACGCGAAGGAGTAGAGCGCCGTGATGGAGTGGAGAACCGCGATGAGAACCGCGAGGATACATCTGGAGTCGGAGGTGCGCCTTGGCCGGAGCGCTGACGCTTGCAAAGTGCGCGCGCCCTGCTCAAGATCTTCTCCCTGAGAAAATATTTTGAGTTCGAGTAAATCGGCATCGGGTTTGGAATACAACTTACTGTGTCCAAGACGGACCATGGCTGTCAACAATCTCAATCCCTCCCATGAGGTCTGTGAATCTCTCTGCGACATCCGAGAGCGAAACGTCATCGACAGGAGCGAGAGACTCGCCCGCGAGACCTCGCTCCTGGGCGAGCTCATACCGCTCATCCGTGAAGCAGCTATCCAGCAGTTTCCAATCTGCTTTTGTCCAGTCCCGTGGGCCGGAGACAATGGGAAGCTCATACTGGTACTGTCGATTCTTCGTCGGAGTTCCGGCGACACTGGAAGCGACGCTCCCGGACCGACTTCTAGCTGGCGAGCTCCTCAATTCTTCCGTGGCCCTATCGAGAAGTGCAACGTTCGCGGTCAGGTGTTCTTCTCCCGCCAGGCCAGCAATCGTGCGTCTTCTCCACAATTTCTGCGGAGTGCTGTAGGACTTCGAAACTTTTGCGGCAGCAGTCTGTCGCCGCCTGAGCCTCCGGGCAACCATATC